ATGGCCTCATGTTTTAAAATTAAATATGACCAAGTGCAAGCTCAAAATGAGTTCCTGGGATTTTGGAAATTTTCCAGCATTCCAAGGTGCTGATTTATAGTTACCACGTGAACGACCTCATGAATAGACCTTTCATTACATATTCCTCAGAATAGCAAACTCCCAGCTGCCCCTTCCTACTGGGCCATGACTTAACTCTGGAATGTGTTTTGACTCACTGACTATAATAGTGACTAAAAGGAACATGTGGGAGTCATCAAAAATCTGCAGGTGGACCCGACTTTAAGAAAAAGAAACACTTAATTGGGTAAGCAGATTAATTAGAGATGATTACTGATATAAAAATTAGACTATTTTACAAAGGCCATCGCCACAGAATTGTTTTAGATGGTGATCCACTGACGATATTTTTCCTAACGAAATGTCTCCTATATGAACTAAAATAACATTATTTGGGGCATGAAATAAGGTAGAGTAGGTAGGGAAGCAAGTCTGCAAGCAGAAGCGAGTGCTGGTAGTCCTGGGTCCACCATCGTGTGTCCGGAGACCAGGTGTCGATGGTGTTAGCTGGAACTACTCTGTGATTAAATGTCTGATTTACTTATAAGTTTCCAAAGAAGCCCTCCCTGTTTCATTAAAGAAATGGTGCTGTTAATTTTAAAGTCGCCTGTTGCTCCATTTCATTTAACTTTGTTAATCTTAGGTATTCAGAAAAAGGTTTGCTTCTGACCTGAGGGGATTCATATTTCCAAGACAATGAAGCTCTAGAAAAGATGTTATGGGGAGAAAAAAAAAAAAAAAGTAAAGCCTCACAGTAGTATTTCTGTTTCTATGATAAAACTATTGCTTTATCAGCACATTGAAAAGGGAACACAGTTGAAATTATATTTTTCTTAATTTTATCACTAGAAAATACTAAAGAGAGGAGATCATCCCCAGCTCTCGAAGGCAACTTTTTAATATGTGAATTATTGCTATTTACCTTTTATCTGTTTTGCCAACATGAATTCTCTTTCTGCTTATACACATACATTTCAATAAAGGTAAATTAGCAGGTAGAGGATCACTTAAAATGAATAGTTAGCATCTGGATCAACTTTCATGAAAGGTTGGACAGTTAGCTCATGGGACGAATGTCAGCTTCCAATATCATGACAATTTACATGTACATTACTTAAAATTCAATGAAATTAGCAATTATGTTGGTCAGCTGCACTAGCTACTTTTTAATTGCGTAATAGCCACATGTGGCTAGTCGTTACCATGTTGGATCGCACAGATATAGGACACTTCTATTATCATTATCACACAAGTTTCTTTTGGACATCATTACTCTAAAATGTCTGATTTTAAACAAAAAAATAAGATATGTAAATGTCAGTCACACAAATGCATATATTATACATACTTCAGTATTTTAGAAACATTAATGACTGGAAGGATCCCCTCATGTAAAGAGCAGTAGAAAACTGAAAGAACAGAAGTTCAGTTTGTTTTGTGAAACCTGCCAGAGAAGATGAATGGCCATTATAAGAATAAAGAATCAATTTAGTTTTAATTGAGCAGAATAAAAAGAGAAAGACAGTAGGTAATTTCCAAGGTTTATTGCAAAAGCCTTGAAAAAGCGACTTTGAATATATATTTTATCTTTTGGCATTTTACATGTTGATGACTTAGAAGATTAAAATTAAAATTATGAGTTAGAGCATAAAAGTGAAGAGCAGACAATTGTCATATTAAAAAATCCCAAGTCATATAAATTTGATGCACATGACCCATTCAATTCTATACTATTTGAAGTATTCCTTGATCCAGAGTTTTTCAGCAGAAAGAGTAGATTTTTCAATTCTACATACATGTACGTCAAACGCCAGTACCTAAGACTTCCAGTATTCACTTTCCAACTTACTGGTCTTAAAATATCTAAAAGAAATTCAACAAATCATATATATATATATGTGTGTGTGTGTGTGTGTGTGTGTGTGTGTATATATATTTTTTGAGATGGAGTCTCGCTCTGTTGCCCAGGCTGGAGTGCAGTGGTGCCATCTCGGCTCACTGCAGCCTCCACCTGCCAGGTTCAAGCAATTCTCCTGCCTCAGTCTCCCGAGTAGCTGGGATTACAGGCATTCACTATCATGCCCAGCTAATTTTTGTAATTTTAGTAGAGATGGGGTTTCACCATGTTGGTCAGGGCTGGTCTCAAACTCCTGACCCTAGGTGATTTACCCACCTTGGCCTCCCAAAACGCTGGGATTACAGGCGTGAGTGACTACGCCCGACCCAACAAATCAGATTTTTACATTAGTATAATACAATTAATCAAATCATTTACACTGATTGATTTCTTTTCTTTCATATCCCATCATTATCAAATTACCCACATTTGTCAAATTATGGATTTACTATGCTCGACATTTAATGTCATATGATCTAAGTCTTCCTAGAATCATTTTAACAAATGTTAGAGTATATTTCCAAGAAAATGTGAATGGAATGCACCAACATGCACACGGGAGCACTATGGTTTACTTGACACCAATACATAAGTGAGGAAATGGAGTAAATGAAACAGAAGTGGTGAGAGTAATTGTCCACAAACTGGGAACCTGGGAGTGGCTCATCGGGCATAAAAAGAAAGGCTGGGGAAAATCATAGCACCTCTCTGTGCTGTTCTGGTCCTGCAGTTGAGGATATTGGAGTGGAAATAATCTGACAGGCATTGCTAGTTCTGTCCTGGAATGGAGTTATCAATTCACACTGTTTACTAAATTTTAAATATGCAGGATATTAGGTAGTTGCACTTAAATTATCTATTATAAGTGTAATTTTAAAAATCTACTGTTTTTCATATTACTACAAATAAATACTGCCTCAATATGAAACTCTTAGGGCTAGTTAAGATGTTTAACTAATATATAAGGCTATCGCAGTCACTCATATAATTGTATAAACTCTGAAATCTTTCAGTTATCACACTTTATTTAGAAACAAGTGTTTATCTTTTTGGAATAAAATAAATCTTTATAGCAAAACAGCAATATCAAAATGCTCTTGTTTTGTAGGTTTCATCCAGTTTAATTTGCATGCTGTCCAAGTTAACTAAATTAAGTATTAAAATAGTTTATTATTGTTCCAACAGAGATAGAAATTTGGGGACCTGTGAAAGAATGAAAAGGATCCCATAATGAAATAATTTTGTTTCTTTTAAATGTATTGATACATAGGAATTAGAGTTATTGTGCAATATACAGATAAAATGAAATTAAAATTGCTGCTATGTTCGTCCATCTTGCAGATGCAATTTTCCCACCTTGTGTTTGCAAGTTTACTTCTTATTATTGTCAGGGTAACTGGAAATGTGTATTTGAGGTTACTTTTAAATTTAAGTCATATCTTGACAGTAAATAGTGGTTACACTCCAGAATACTTTTTCTAAGCTTTTAAAATAAAGAGGCCTTTGAAAACCTTTGCATGGAAATCAAAGAAAACACAGATGAGGAGAAGTAAGATGTGCTGAGTGGAGTTAATTATCTCGTGTAAGTTCGATCAGTTTGCCAAACTCATTTTTGCCTCCCTATGCTAAGCTCTCCACAGGAAAGAATCATCAGAATATAAATCATTCCTTGAAGCTTCTCTTTTCTTGGCCTCTGCTAATCTAATTCTTTTGCATTCAGCCAAGTGCCTATAAAGTTTAATCACAGGCCAGAAATATGTGGAGTAAATTCCTCAAGACTGATACTAATCATATTAGGATATTAATTGGGCATACCAAAATGAATTGAAAGTGAAAAAGAGATTGAAATCTCAATTTACATGTATTTAGAAATCCATGCCCAGGCCATCATTAGCAAACTCCCCTTCACTGTTCCTACACCTGCCTCCCACTCCAAATTACATCCTTATACCAAACGGAATCGGAATGGGCTGCACCACATGTAAATTCCCCTGAAAATCAGTCTGTTCTGTCACAGTGTACAGCTTCTCAAACTTTAATGTGCACATGAATCATTTGAGGATCCTGTTACAAGCAGATTCTGATTTAGTAGAACTGATGTGAGGCTGAAGGGTCTGCATTTCTAATAAGCCTCCAGGTGATGCTGATGTGCTGATTCGCAAACAGCTTTTTTAAAGTTTTAAAGCAGAGTACTATTTGCTTTTCCACATTGTGAACTGTAATATTCCAAAGACTTTCCACATTGCTCACGTGGACTGGTGACTTAACAGTTTGCTACAAATATTCCAAATGATATCTTAAAATTTGTACTAATTATGATCTCTAACAAACACCACAAATACTACAATAGACATTGGTTGGTTAAAGAGGAAAAATCCAGAATGTGTCTAATCAGAAATGATAAATAAGATCTGTATTTTCCAATAAATTATTTATATTTTTCATGTCTGTCATTGTTGAAAATGATATTAGTAGTGTGATTTCTAACATATGCGCTATTAACTTTTTAATGATATTTGTAAAGCATTAATCAAATTTATAGGGTTCTGTCTAAAATGTAACACTCTTATGTCGCTTTGTTTTCCAAATTCATTATGCAAGTTTAGTTTAATTGTCTGAAAAGGAGATGCTTAAGGCATCTTATTATTTTTTTTTATTTTGCTACTGATAGTTACTCCTAGCTCATTCTTTTGGTACCCACAGACAGAAAGACAAGTATGTTTTTCTTTTATTTTCACAAAAAGAAAAGTCAGATTATGGTCAGGTACATTGTTTCAAACTTCTAATACTGAAAATGCTTGTTGTACTGGTTTATAGTCAATTAAAATATATTCCATTTAGTTATAAAAAACTAATTAAAATATAATAAAGATAGAAGTATTTATAAATACCTCTATTTTTCCTAAATTATATTTCCTAAACTATATGCAGTCATTATTTTCCTTACTAATTTTTAAACAAACCGCTCATATATTTTATTTATTAACCACTCATGTTGTACGAGGTATGATCTCAAGAAAGTGTATCAAAATGCTATGCTAACCTTCAAAGATGTGGCTGTGACCACTTTCAGGTGACATCTTGTTACAAGATGTTTCCTCGCCTTTCTTGTCTGAGTCTTTCACAGAATCCTCCAGCTGGCTCCCAGGGTGACTCTTAAAAGCTGGCGAGCACAAACTTCGCTCAATTTCCACTTCCTGTTAGAAGACATTAAAGGGTTGTATGTTAAAAGCTATCAGTAGGAAACAGATGTGTTTTTTAGGGGGGTTAGAAGGCAGGAGTGAGAGAGGGAGGGAGTTTCTATCGTGAGTGATGTTTTCCAATATGCTTCGGGTAAAATTTTGATAACTTCGCCAAGAACTGCAAATGTATATCTGAACGCTTAGTTTACTTTTCTGCCACTGGTTCCACTTCTGAATTAGCCTTCCTTTCATGTGTGTGTGTTTTTTACTCTCATAAAAGAGAGAGAGTGGAAATAAGGGTCACAATACAACATAATATATGTTAATGGATGCAACTTTCTAGGCCTGAGAAATGTTGATGAGAGACTTTCAAAAAATAGCAATGTATCAACATTATATGCTGAAGACAGAAGGAAATGAGTTTTTTTTAATGTCATGCTCACCCTATAATAATAACCTGAGCAATTATAGAGTTCCCCAATTACAAATCCATTCAGCCAGCATACAGTGAGTACAGTTTTTCAATTCATAAAGATTATGAAATTACTTCTTGAGATAGTAATTTAAAGGTGAAGAGATAAAAGATTCCCAAAGAAAGGAAGTATAAAGGATATTTCCAACATAGAAAGTCTAGCATTCCTTATTGTATAGGCCAAGTAATGTAATCAAATAAAACAAACCAAGCCAAGTAGACTAAATATTTTGAATAAAAAGTTGCAAAAAGTAAATGACCCAAGACAGTTCAAGAAGCAAAAGTCTAATTTTTACTATGTCAAGTAATATGTTGAAAATATTTTCAACAGCTACACCTAAGTTAAAGATTTTCATACAGGAGGTCACACAGTAGTCTCCCTGTAACTGCAGTTTTGGTTTCTGCAGTTTCATTTATCTGCGGTCCACAATATGAAATGAAAAATTCCAGAAATAAACTATTTATAAATTTTAAATTGCATGCTCTCTGAGGATCACTCCGTCTGCCCAGGACATGAATCATCAGTTTGTTTGTCCATACTACCAACCATGATTCACTTAGAAGCCGTCTTGGTTATCAGATGGACTATCATAGTATTGCAGTGCTTGTGGTCAAATCACTCTCATTTAACCTTTATTACAGCATAGTGTTTTAGTTAGTCTATTTTATTATTAGTTATTGTTGTGAATCTCTTACTGTGCTAAATTTAAAAGTTAAACTTTATTATAGGTATATATGTGTGGGATAAGACATAGTATACACAGGGTTCGGTACTAGCTGTGGTTTTAGGCATCCACCAGGGGCCTTGTAACATGACCCCCGTGGATAAGGGGAGACTACCGTATTTTTCTAAACAGCGATTCAGATGATGATGTCAGTAATTGTTTTTCACTTTTGTTACCTCTTAAGTACACAGACATGAGTGAGTCAAGTTTGAGAGACAGCTAAAAGCTTCGAAACATTTCTTAGAGTAGACACATTTTCTATGTCTTTGCTATGGTTAGAAAAGTTTTTCAATTTATATATAATATATACACACCTGCAAATATATATATACATATATGACATGTACATAACAAGTATATATGAAGATATATATTCACAGAAATATATAATATACACATACACATGAATATACATGAGTATGAATATATTCACTACGTATATGTGTGTACATACATTTATTACAAATGTTTGTATATACACATATACACACATACATATAAAATCACTAGAAATATTGGTAACTGGAAATCATATCATCTTTAGATACTCCCAAAAAATATTTGATGTATGCTGTCTTCATTAGAGTGAACTTTAACTGAAACTAAAAACAATTGCAGGAGAAAAATAGAGAAAAAGAACTTGTCGTTTTTTTCAGGGCATTGCCTTTAACATATGTGTTTCCAACTATGACAAAAAATCCATATGTTCGTAATTTGTAGTGAGGTATAATGCTGTTGAGACACAGTGTCAGTCATGCCACGACAGGTGGCATGAGTATAACATCCTTCTCTGAGTTCATTCTGGTGTCCTCTCCACTGTCCTGGAAGGTGAGTGCTATGACATGAACACATTATGTTTGCTTGTTTTGCTTCAGTAATTTTATCCAACTGCTAGCATTGCAAAACAAGATGAGATAAATAGAAGGTGCAGATGCCTACAAAGTTGTGATTTTTGTTAGGAAAATTTATGTTTTGGTAAAAGGTGGAACACTGAACATGGTCCATGGACTGAGACTGATGATATTAAGGAATAATTTCTGTTTCATATACCTACATGGAAATGTGATTTGATTAAATTTTAGCTGGTGATGACATTAACTTATACTATATTGGTATTCTCATTCTGGAATTCACAAGTATCAAGAGTGCATCTTGTATGGAGGCAGTAAGGAACAATCCACATGTGGTGGACCTATTTTCAAGCCCTAGTCATCACATCAAAGTCATTCTGAGGCAAGTTCTTCAGGGCCTGGCAAGGGGTAAGGAGGCAGCTGTGTAGAGATATAAAAGAGCTTCTTGGATGAGGTTGAATTGAGCTCTCTCCAATCAAAGCAGTGATCCGCTTTAATCTCTCGTAATCTGTTTTATACACTGTGCTTCCACAAAAGATTTACTTTGAGTAAAAATCTATAGGCTTAAACAAATGTGTAAAACACCAGTTTAGAAGGAACAAATGCAGCATTTCACAATGAGAAAGTTGGATTCAAGCCCTCCCTTGGCTACTAATTAGCTTTGTGGCCTTGATTAAGTCACTTGCCATTTCTAGGACTAAGTTTTCTCAAATGTTCTTGGAAGAGATTTGGTTATTGGATGCCTAATGTTCAACAACCAACTACTGGTGGTATAATTTTGTTTAAAATAAAATAAAGAAATATGTTTCACCTTTGGTGGCTTCCAGTCTAGTGAAGGAGGTAAATGGTAATGAAGCCCAGGAGTCAGTATTAAACATGCAACTCTAATGCTGAGTATCTCAATGGGGGAATTAACTCAGTGAGAAAGAGAGAGCCGCGCACAGGGCTCTTCTGGGGAAATGACTTTCAGCTGATATTTGAAGACTGAATGGGGTTTAACTACGTGAAGAGCTTTCCAGGTGAAGACAATATGTGCAAATGTCCTGGACTGGGAGGGAGGACAGAGCATAGAGTAGGTGGGAGCAGGGAGGCTGAAAGAAAACACATGGTGCTGGATGGCCTGCAGAGGCAGGCCAGGACCAGATCACAAGGCCTGCAGCACTGTATTTACTTTTTTGGTCTTAGCTCAATGGGAAGTTACTGAATGTTTTTAAGTGTATGTGTGTGTGTATGTGTATGTGTGTATACATGTGCACGCATGACATAATCAGATCTGCCATGTGAAAAGTGCAGTCTAACTCCAGAATATGATTTCTCAATCTTGTCACTGTTATCTGAACCAGATAATTCTTTGTTATTAGGGCCTTATTCTGTGCATGGTAGGCTGTTTGACAGCCTTCCTGGTCTCTACCCACTAGACGCCAGGAGCATTTGTCCCTAGCTCTGGAGTCATAACTATTAAAAGTGGGTTCACACATTGCAAAATCTCCTGTGGGGAGCAAAGTCACTGCTGGTGAAAAGCCACTACTCCAGACTGGGTTAGAGTAGAAGGTTACAATACATGTGGAAAGAGCAGTTACTATAGCAGTGCTGCAGGCAAGTGATGATGATCTTAAAGAAAGAATGGTGATGGAGATGGCCAGAAGTGAACCAAGTTGAAAGCTACTTAGGAGGTAAAACTTTCAAAGCTTGGTAATGGATTGAATCAGAAGTCTGAGAAAGATAGAGAGGGGAGGGGAGAGAGAGAATGAGAGAGAGAGAGAGAGAATGGGAGAGAATTTTATTTTTCTCTATGGCATGCACAACAAAATGGACTGTGATGCTATTAAATGATGTCAAAATATCAGATAAAGGCTGGTTTGAGGGAGATGATAGATCATGAGTTGGGTAGCAAGATGTCCAAAAGGCAGTTGGATGTGTAGCCCTGGAGCTTAGAGGAGAGGTCCAAACTGAACAACTAATTTAAGTCATCTGCTTTCCGTGGTAATTGAAACAACAGGCTTGAATGAACTTGCTTAGGGGCAGAGTATATAAAGTGTGATGGAGAGTGAGTCCAGAACCAAGCCTTGAAAAATGCCAAGATTAAATGTATGGCAGAGGAGAAAAATCAGAAGGAAAGAATATCTTTAACGATATTGAACTTGCACTGAAAGTATTAATTTGAAGAGGACTAAAATATATCTTGAGTTGAGCAACATGGATGTCAACAGTTGAGCAAAATTGCTTCATTGGAAGTACAAAGGTTCGAAGGCAATTTGAAGTGGGTGAGAGAGTGGCTGGGAGATGGTGAATGGAATTCACTTATTGAAAATTTCAATGTTAATGTGGATGGGAGCAATAGAGCAGTAACTTGAGAGAGATGTGTTTTGTTTGTTTTAAAGGAAGAGTTTTGCATACTTTGAAAAGCTGACTCAAATGATTTAATGAGATGGAGATGCTGACTGTATAGAAGAGAGCAGGAACAATCAGTGAAGGAAAATTCCCGAGAAGGGCAAGAGGATGGAACCCAAAGCATGGATAGAAATATAGCCCGAAGGCAGCATAACAGAAAACATTCCTGTTCTCACTGAGGGGAAGGAGGGTCAAATTGATGCAGATATAGGTGATTTGCATGCTTGGTTGCTTGAAGATAAGAACCCAGGCAGAAAGTTATCTATTTTCTCTGTTACAATGCAAAGTCTAATGAACATAGGAGTATTTGAAGAGAATGAAGAAAGTTTAACTTAATTGCTGGGGAGAACGGGGGAAGAGAGATGACTAGACAAAGATGACTGCGGCAGTGCAGCGCTAGGGGCCCATTTGAGATTGGGAATATTAACTCTGCAGGGCTACCAGTCGAGCCTGTTATGTTACTTAGTTACTTACTAAGTCAGAAAATTCTCCCTAGTTCTAGTTTGGGCAATGAGAAAGTATATAGCTGACTTCAGCCAGGGAGCGGTTTCCTGAGGAAAAGTATAAATAAAATGT